ATTACTGCATTTACAGTTTTATAGGTAAGTCTGTCAGCCTAACTATAATTTCATTTCGCGGGAAGTCATTCATATCAGGCAGCTCCAATTTCAAATAATTCAATGGGAAATTGGTACTTAAAACTGGAATCTCTTCTGGCCATAAGCCCTAACAAGGAAACAAGCAGAGGGAACATGCATCAGTCATACTAGACCCAGAGCAAATACTGCTCTAATTTATTTTTACTATTGGTAGCTACATTTCTTTCACTGTGAGTCAAAAAAAGCAGAATACACGAGCACTTTTCATTTTATGAAAAGGTTATTACTTTCTATCTGTTCTACTTAATCTAATGTTGGCCTGGGCTCATTAAGAATCACATGCTTCCTATTGAACTTCTGCCTAGCCACTACATTTTTCAAATTAAATTAATAATTCAAAAACACAAAGTTTACTGTAAACAATCTAGTTTCCTTTTCTACATGTGATTTCCGGCTGTGCTCTGAGCAATATAAAAAATTAATCTAAATCCAAAAGTCTTCAGAAACTATTAAATATTGACTCACGAATCCTTTGTCTTAGGATTTTATAATTGCTTGAGGAAAACTGATTAACCTGTAGGTTAATTTAAATTTTTAATCGCATTAAAGAAAAGAACAATAGAACAACTTTCTTTAACAAAAAATATATACCCATGCAATTATGGTTTCTGTTAACATTTGAAGACATTTAGGATTTTTCTCTTTAACATCTTGGGCCTGTTTAGGCTAATCATCTCAAAGACTTAAAATCTTTAAAGTCTTGACTTTCTGTACCGATGAGATTTCGAAACGAGTTCTGTCAATGCCAATTCTGAACAGGACCAATTTAGTGTCTGTCTTTTAATTTTAGACTTACCTTTATACAATGGAGATACTTTTTGTTTTTTTTCACATATGCCAATCCGTAGTGTCACTGGGCCCTTTGAAATGTTAACAGGAGACTTTCTCCTTAGTTCCAAATTCCATGTGCACATAAGCACACTCATAAACACACACACAGTAAAATCTCACTAACACTTGGCTGCAATTTATGGCAATTTTGTCACAGGTGAAGTGTTCCTCTGTTCTACTGTTAGCAGGATGCATGTTCGATAAACAAGAATAATTTCAACAGGTTGCATTTAGAAATCCATGCAAATGATGGATGCACTAGTAACCTGTGATTCAAAACTACTTTGAAGGATATCTGCTAAATTGTTCAGTGTGAGAATGTTCCTAAAAGTTCTAAAATTACAATCTTTTAAAATATTCTAAATTTGAGCTAGTCTATAATTAGGTCCTATTGTATGTTAGTTTCTACATGACATACTTGCTCTGTACTGCCCCTAACTATTGAAAGTGTGAGTGCTTTTCCTTTTTTCCGCCCTAAAATCTATACATTATGGAGTGCCTGTATACACATGCATATGTGTGGACACACACACGAACACACACACACACACCCCACACCACATATTGATGAACACAATTTTTTTCAACTAGGAATTCTGTGTCAGGTTAGGTCAAATTTGAAGCTGACTAACCTTGACAATATTTTCCTAGAAAGTACTATAAATATAATGTTGTATTTCAAGGCAAATGGCTGCCTTATAAAATATACATTTGTCCCTCTCTTTCATATTTTAAGTCAGTTTTTATAAATCAGTAAATGGCCCACGGACATTCTGACAAGAATCACTGTATCAAATCTGAATAATGTAAGTTTCATGTTAATAAACTTAAAAAATTATCCATTCTTTAGAATGTTATTTTTCAACTGAAAATGCAGTGTGGTAAGTTTTGAATGTTTCTCTTTGAAGCTAGGGACTATCTTTTCCCATTTTGTGTTCAAAATTTATGTTTTCCAGACTTTAAGACTACAAACAATTAAATTTTAAAACAGTCACTACAGTGACATTCTATATCTTTATTCTGGCTTTCATTGCTACTTGAACATAAAGTTCTTAGAGCAGCACAAATTTATTTTTCTGCCTTCTATGTAGGGGTTTGCAGAGATAAAAACTGAAAATTTAAGACATAGAGGTTAGAACATTAACTCGGTAAGACAACATTGGAAAGCAATTTCTGATTGGAAGCTCTTGCTTTTCCAGACATGAGGCATCTCTGCTGCACAGCCATTACATATATTGTTCATAAATGTGCAATCAATCTTTGTTAAATCAGGTTAAATATGAATGCTGCTTTCCTGGATGTCATCCAAAAGTGGCATTGAAAGCATACTAAAGAATTTATTTAAAGAATCACACTCTGAACTTCACAAATACATAGTGGCTATTTTAAAATGATATCTTCTGAAAAAGCAAATGGTCTAAAAGAGAAGTCGAAAATATTTTCTCTGGTTACCACTGTCAGATCTAACTACATAATTATACTGTCAAATAGCTTCATTTTTTAATGCTTTTGTTTATATAGTGCCTGAACATTGCCTTCAAGGCACAGTAAAACTCTAACACTAAAAATGTAAATGTAACTTAAGTGATGAGAATTGTCATTAAAATCTAAAGTATGATTTTACTCTATTTATCCAGCCACATAGATTTGCCGAATCTATGTTATTTAAATACAAATACACATTTCTAAGAGAAATGCTTTAAGGTATTAAATAACATTCTATTTTTCCCTTTTATTTTTATTTTCTATCCTATTTATCTTTAAAAAAATAACTTAAAAATTAAATCAAGCTATTTGCTTTAGCTGTGGATAGAAAAATTCTCCCTACTAAATACACATCATTTAAATGTTTGTCAATAAAGTGAAGGCTGTTTGGAAATTTTACAATGCCAATTTACAAACTTTTCACAACAGAAAATGGCCTAGGAAGTTGTCTTTGATATGTAGCCTATGTAAATACATAAATACTACCTCCCTAAATAAATGATTGCACATTACGGGTCTAATCTTACCATAAAACATTATAGAATTTATTCTGGAAACTTCTATGACTGTTAACAGGAATTACAGAAACTTATTCTCTGCATGCATCAGAACAAGGGTAAATTGGATTCTTTTAGGACCCCTAAATAACCAGCTTATATCACTGTTTCTTATGTTAGATTAATTTAAACTGCAGTAAGCTATGTGACATATTTTTCAGGATGAGCAGTTGACAATCTAAATCAGTGGTTGACAAATCCAGCCCACTGTTTGCTTCTGTAAATGAAGATTTAATGGAACACACCCATGCACATCAGTTTTATGCATTGTTTACTGCTGTTTTCATGCTACAATAGTAGGTTTGAGTTGTTGTGACAGTGATGGTGCCATCACAAATCCTAAAATATTTGCTCTCTGAACCTTTACAGAAAAAAAATTGCCATTCTTTCATCTACATGGATAACTACATGATATGCATTTTAAATGCACTGTTTTGAAAGCTCCAGGATCAGAAGTTATAAACCCAGTTCACAATAGGACAAATACATGGTTTGGTTTATATAATTATGTACAAGTGAATTGGGTCTTTTAGGAATGATGTTCAAAACTTCATGAAGCCACGAACATCTATCCAAATTTCCCAGTTTTGCCTTAAGTTACATATATATATACACACACACATATTTATCCTATAGTTGAGTCATTATATCATATTTAAGCAAATAACAGTAACTATTTTATTCTAAATTACTTTTGAAACTAACATAAAGGAATGCTAATACAAGTAAATAATTGTTTAAACTAGTGCCTGAATTACTTGTTCCCTAAGCAACGTAAACAGAAGCCAGGATATCTCATTTGCTGTGAAATGCTTGTTTTTAATTTTCCTACTTGATGCTTTTTCAAAAAAATGCCTCAATGCAAACTGTTTGGTTAATGAAGAAAAACATCTGAACTCCTTTTATTATGTTTATTTGTGACAAATAACACATTCTGAATCAAAATTAACTTACCATCATTTCAAATGTATATTGGTTACAGCTTAGCAACACCCTTTTCAGGATGTGGTCATTGTATAAAGAAGATGGGACTGTTCAGTAGAATGATTTTTATTTTATCAATAAAAGTGAGACTTTGAAATGCCTTTATTATCATTTCACTGCTTGATATTGACTATCAATTTGTATCACATCATTCAATATCAATTCCAGAAACATCCGGAGCCTCACACACCTATTAGTATCTCAGAGCCAACTAGTCGCGAACAGAGGAAGTAATACAATTGCTTTTGTTAATGTTCTCATGCGACAGGCAGAGGCAGTCAATATTAGACCTGGTAAGACACATCTAGCTCTAGGTGGAATCTGAGGGGAGATGCAGCAACAAGAAAGCAGCACCAACTGAGCATGCTCCTATTCAGGCAGAGACAGAAAGGGAGTGGACGTACTGTAGAAGCTGGCCATTACGTAGTTTTGGCAGCGATCACCAGTAAACTCATTTGGGCACCTGAGAGAAGAAACAAAAAAACAATGGTAGAAAAAACAGAGAAAAAGAGAAGAGGTGAATATATGCTAGAAAGAAGCTCCTTCAGTGTCATTTGACTGAAACTTGGTGGGTTCACCCTCAGGAACTGAATCTTTGCCCTGATTATGGCTTTCAGGCTCTGGCACTTCCCCCAAATGGTTAAAAATTTGGACAGAATGCAGTTCTTAAGTAGGTATGATGGAAAGATCCCAGCATTTTAAGTGGTTGCCTTCTTTCAAAGGGAACTTCTTAAAATGAAATCTGACGTTTTATTCATCTCAGTTTTCCATTTGATGGCTTTGGTCACACACGTTGGAAGAAAATGTTTCTCGGTTGGCTTGCCTGCAATGGTTTGTCAGCATCACGGGCCATCGTGCCTGGCCATTCTTGTAAATTGATGACTTAGGGACCCACTTTGAGAGACAGTTAATAAGGCAATATTGAATGGGTTTATGCCTCGAGAGGTTAAGCCATAATTAGAACAAAATGAATCAGTTGCAACTGAGCTGTAAAAGCACCAAGTGGTAGTGATTGTTGCTGTAGTTGGGGGAGAAAGCAAATTTCAGATTATTTTAACATACTTTCTTGGTTTTGGACTTTCATGGGCACATTCTCAGTACATCTTGCTCCAGTGAATCCAGGTTGGCACCTAGAGGGCAAAAATGTGGTAAACAAAAAAAATGCTAAAGACACTGAGCTTTCAGACTGGCAATTTTCCTCCTACGGAATATGGAGATTCCTAAAAATGATCTGGTACCAAGCAATATAAAGAAAAGAAAAGACACGACATTTAGAAAACCATGTCCCACGAAAACTGTGGGTTACAGATTTTTGTTGTTGTTTGCTTCAGTCTTCAAATGATTGGTTAACTGAAATTTAACCAGAGTGAAGTTGAAATGTGGAATAAGAGGCAGCAAGGCCCAGAGAGCTGTCAATTTTCCTTTGGCATGACCCTGTTTGCCACTGAACATTGATTCTCACTATGTTAAAACACTGGTTTTCATAAGTGCTAACATGATTCCATCCCTGTCTCTTATCAATAAATTATCTTGAGTTTTTTCTTTTATATACTTATATCAATTTTAATTCATTTCATGGGTGTTTTATGTTACAAGTTAACTCATTAAACAATAGAAGTCAAGTACTTTCACATTATAATGATTTTTTGACAAGAAAAACTACATTCCCTCTTTTTTAAAAAGATATTACAAATAAACTCTTGTTTTTAATGTTCAAAGATACTAGAAACAGATTTTTATCAAGACAAATTTCACTTAATTGTATTATCCCAAATCAAAGATAAATACATTTTAAAATTTATATCAGTTATTCTTATGCAGAAGTACTTAATACATGTCATTTTGCATTTAAGGTAAAACTGTTTTTAAAACTGTATAAAATTTACATGTTATTCACTCATATATATTTACCTATCAGCATTCTAGAATCTCGATACAATATTGTTCTTAAGGTCATGCAATGGGGCTGTGCTTAAATATGGAAGTTATTTATAATTGCCATTTTTTTTTGTTGCTGTTACTCTAATAACTAAAGCATTTTAAATAGGATTGATTTTACCAGAATCATTCTTGAATAAAAAGGGCCACTGACAGGTTCTAGGAAGCAATATACTTACAGATAGAAAATCCCTCATTTTGAATCCTCAACATCCATCATCATAATTATTATTAATAGTTCATCTATACAGCAACTATCATGCAAAGAGCCTAAGTTAGCTCTGGTAGCTCATACCTAGTGATTTTTACACAACCCTTTTCTCTACAGAGTAAATAAGAATACATACTATATTTTTGGCATCAAAGAGATATGAACAAAACTGTACTTTGTTACCAATATAGGGGTACTTTGGTTTCCCTTCAAGCCAAATCACCAAATGACTTGGTATATGTAATTCTCCTACTTTATGAAAATGGCCTGCAAGATAAAATACTAGCAGTTCCAGATTTTTCGCCTTGTGAATATGTATTTAAGCTTAAACAACAAACATCTTATATTGACACAGCTCTTTTAAACTCTTGGAAACACCTTCATATAAATAAACTGATGATTTTTGTTTAGAATATTTTCGCTGCAGGGAGTAGAGGAAGAGCTACCTAGAGAAATGCATCAATAAGAAGTATAAGCTTGGCCAGGTGCGGTGGCTCACGCCTGTAATTTTAGCACTTTGGGAGACTGAGGTGGGCAGATCACTTAAGGTCAGGAGCTCGAGGTCAGCCTGGCCAACATGGTGAACCCCTGTCTCTACTAAAAATACAAAAAATAGCCAGGTGTGGTGGCGGGTGCCTGTAATCCCAGCTACTCAGGAGGCTGAGGCAGGAGAATCACTTGAACCCGGCAGGCAGAGATTGCAGCGAGCTGAGATCGTGCCATTGCACTCCAGCCTGGGCAACAAGAGCAAGACTCTGTCTCAAAGAAAAAAAAAAAAAAAAGAGGTTGGGTCATTTCTCAAAAAGACGCCATTTCTTCACATTCTTATTGAATGTACACAAGAAAAAATACATGGGAACGTTTTTTCATATAACTTATTTCACAAATTCATTTCCGAAGTAAATGGGGTTTTTATTTGTTTCTCAACCAGGACTATGAGTTCATATAGACAAACGCTGTAATTAAAGCAGGTGTTTCTAGAATTAATGATGTATTCAATAATTATCATTTCATCCTGTTTCTTTGCATTCTTGATAAAAGTTAACATTCTCATATTGAGCACACAATAATTCACTTGTTTCTAACAAAAGAACATGGTGTAAGATATGTGAACATGCTGTGTATGTGTGTGTATGTGTAAGAGAGAAATACACACACACCACACAGTTGCTCAGGGCAGGAAATGCCCTTATGTAAGTAAGAATCATGAAATTAACAAATAGCTGAGGAATCACGAGTTCCTTAAGAGAAGGAAGGCATTTATAAGGAAATTGTCATTAGGCATCTTATAATTAGTTCTATGATCAGAGGGCACAGGACAACTAGGTAAAGTGAGTCAGAAATCCTACCCAATCAATTTTCTAATTATTATGAATTTCTAACATGATGTTTCCTAGGAAGCTAGCATGAGATGATGGCTTATCTCTATCATAAAATCATATGGAAAACTGGGTATAGTAACACTAGAACTACTTGAGGTATGCAAGTCATTTTTTGGAATTACCAGCTACTTCTCAACCAGAACTATCCTTTTGCTAGTATTTATCTTCATTTGGGAGATGAATTTTCTCATCATTGTTTCTTAGTGTTATAAGACCCTGTTATTACTCAGAACTGACAGCATCAGCATCTCCTAGGAGCATGCTAGTGTAAACGCAGGCCATAGCTCAGAACTACTGAATAAGAATCTTCATTTTAACAAAATCCCTAAGAGATGTGGATGTAGATTAAAGTTCAAGATGTAAGGTACCCTGAACTGGGAAAAGGGAAGCAAAGGCCGTCTTTCGGCACTGTGGTATCTTGCTGTTTGGCCATGGACAAGCTATTTGGCTTTACCAGGCCTCACTGTAATTAAGTGATTATCAAAGACCTCTTTTTCCACTAAGGTTCTGGGAAACGATACTTATCCTAACACATGGAATCACTGCTAGAAAACCCCAACATCATTTCTTCTGAATGCATTACCAGTCAGGGACGATAGAACTCAAGGACTTCTAAAAATCCTTTTTGATAACATGGATTTTTAAGACAATTGTTGAGGTAAAACAAATTGCAAGTGCCTAAGCAACTCAAGTGTTCAGCAGCAAAAGGATGTAGACTTCAGAGACATCTAAATTTGTTGCCAAATGAGATGGAAAGGAAAAGCAGAAACTGAGAGAGTTTCTGCATAAGCAAACTGCACACTGCATTGATTGTGTAGAGAAAGCACATGCAAATGAAAACCCAGTTGATCTATAAGCTCTGTGAAATTCTATGGAATTACTTCTAACAGACTAGGGAGACCAGCTTCTGATACATTTCTATTATCAACATTGTATGTTAAACATTCAATCCATCACTTTCCTGGATGATAAGAATAATAGTAAATCAAAGCTGATTTTCAACAATAAGCTTTGGCATGAGTTTGAGCAAATTCCAAGAATTTTTTGTCTGAGAATAATCTAAGGATCTGAATAACAAGTACTTGTTGTAGCTTTAAATATATATGTGTGTGTGTGTGTGTGTGTGTGTGTATGTATATACCATTTGTTTCATTAATCAGTAATATTAGAAGATGGAAATCAGAGTTTTAAAAAATTTTAGTATTTGCTCTTAATATGATGTTTGTTCTATATTTGTTATTAATGGGGTGAAAATTCACAGTTTTTTTTTTCTGAACTTAGGCATCACTCTTTCCCTGCCCTTCACCTCCCCATCACCTACTTCTATGCTCTGGGGAGAATTCTTTCCTTGGCTCTTGCATTGCACCCTATCCTGACCTCGTTCACTGCACTTATCTGTATTGTGATGATCTGCGACACACTGATCACATTCTGTCAGTGATCACATTCTGATCATTTTGTATCTCTAATGCCTAGCACAGTGCCTGGCTCATAATGGGCTCTCACAAAATGTCTGTGAAAATGAACTTAAGATCAGACCACAGTGTCCGTATCTAATCAACAATTTTATCAAATGAAACTTTCAGACAGGGTGTGGTGGCTAACACCTGTAATCCCAGCACTTTGGGAAGCCAAGGTGGGCTGATCACTTGAGGTGAGGAGTTCGGGGCCAGCCTGGCCAACATGGTGACTGTCTCTATCAAAAATACAAAAATTAGCTGGGCATGGTGGCGGGTGCCTGTAATCCCAGCTACTTGGGAAGCTGAGGCAGGAGAATTGCTTGAACCCGGGAGGCAGAGGTTGCAGTGAGCAGAGACTGTGACACTGCACACCAGCCTGGGTGAAAGAACAAGACTCCATCTCAAAAAAAAAAAAAAAAAGATTTTCATACAGTTAATTGATTTGCCAAGCACAGGTCAATCTTGAACATCTGTCTGTTATTTTTATAGTTTATGATACACTCTCCTCTGTGGACTCCCAGATATTTATATTTTTTTTTATTTTTTGAGACAGAGTCTTGCTGTGTCACCCAGGCTGGAGTACAGTGGCAAGATCTCGGCTCATTGCAATCTCCACCTCCTAGATATAAGCAATTCTCCTGCCTCAGTCTCTCAGTAGCTGATTACAGGCATGCACCACCACATCCAGCTAGTTTTTGTATTTTCAGTAGAGACGGGGTTTCGCCATGTTGGTCAGGCAGATGTCGAACTCCTGACCTCAGGTGATCCACCTGCCTTGGCCTCCCAAAGTGCTGGGATTATAGGCATGAGCTGCCATGCCTGCCCTCAAATAATTTTTACAGAAACTCCCAGTATCCTTCTCACAGACTCCCTCCCGCGAATAAAATCCTTTAACATAATGTTTGCAGTTTGGAAAAGACTCTGATTCTTTAACAGTGAGTCTGTTATCTTGAATTTAAATACTGTTAGTGAAATACCGGTTTACTTCGAATTCAATAAAGCAGTGCATTCTACTAACCAAAATTCTGCCCAGCACCAGTATAATAAAAACTGTGGTTAATAATAACTTCAATACACTGTTAATATCCTGATATGCTTATTATGTAATCAATCATAGATGCATGTATTTTGAAATAAAT